TGTCTTACGACACTCCGCTGTCCTTTAACAACAGCATGCGTACCTATTTTCAACTTCTGCTTTGTATGTTGCTACTTTCTTCTCTATAACAATAGGTATTGCGGCTTAAGAGCTTCAACACATATAGGCGGAAGTTACATATTATTGCGTCACCCTCGCCATAAGTAGTTGCATCATCCTCGTTTTTCATCACATTTGTGCCCTCTTTTGCTTCTGTTGTCTTTTTTGTTGCTCATAATTGCAACATTAATAGTCGCCCCAGAGAGTATTATTGTGCTTGACAGACCGACCAACGATGAGTCCTTTCCAACAAAATTGAAACATTTGAAAAGATATGTAATACTAGGTTCCTTACGAAATAGCTACAGTAACTCCTCAGGCGGATTTGGTCCCCCTTTCATCAAGTATCCGTGATGAGCTGAGTCAGATTTTTCAGTGAATTTTCTGTATTCGAGTGTTGTGATATGCGAGGTTGTGTTCTAGTATTTAATTGTTTGAGTTTGTGGAAGCCCAATTCATAGATGTAGAAAGATTATACTGTGGCATCTTATAAAAAAGCAGCACCTGCACAAACATTATTTCACGGATGTTGCTTGTTCGCGTTTTATATCTCTGTGTCTAAAAGTTTAATAACTCAAATTTGAGGTATCAGCCGAAGCACGACATCTGAAGAAGATCTGCGGCCGATTTAAAGGTATCTGAATAAAGATTTCAGGTGAAATTTCATTTGCGTATTAAATATACATGCAACGTATTGTTCGGTATATATTAATTCACAGCAGTACTAGCAAAACCGCTAAACAATCGGCATAGTTATTTCTTACTAACAGTGCTACCGAGGGCGCACTCACATACCTAGTGCAAGTTCGCTAAGCACTTCGCCCCTGCACTACAAGCGTCCAGTTTTTATCACTTGTTGCGGAAAACCTGCGAAAAACCGGCAGAGAAACCCCCACAAAGAAAAGATGTACAATGCCTATGGGGGGAAGCAGCGAGGAAAAGAAAGCTGGCGGCACATGTACTGTATGTATATCTTAAAAGGCAGATACACAGTAGATGTGCTGTCAGGCTGATGTATGGGGCATAAGTGCCATTGGTGTGGTGGATAGCTGGCCGTTTCCGCATGTGAAGAGGGGTGGTTCGAATCCCTTCCGGCGCACAGCCTTTTCTGAAAAGGGACTCCACTCATGACATCACTTACATGTTTAATGTGCGTCTCAGTAATTACGGATCCCCGCACCGCTTCTCCGAAGGTGGCAGTAACTTCCCAGTACCAGCAGTAGCAGTAGTCGAACTACCGGGTCTTTCTCAGCAATTCCAGAAGTATTCTTTTCAATGTACACTGGTACCAGGGTATGCTTTCGTCAGTCGACGTCCATTTATGTGCCATGGGAACTTTTGCATGTTTTGTCTGTCGATAATAGTGTGGTTTTTTTGACTCGTCTTTCATGGAGCCGTACACACATTGGATTAGTGGTTGATAGGATTGGTACTTTTTGTACTTATT